GAGAGAGGACGAGGGATTACATAAGACGAAAAACTATTACAATGTGTAGAATAAGCCTACCTTGAGAAGGGAAAAGAGGCCGAGTTAAATATCGAGTACAAACAAGGAACGACTCCTATTTACAAGTTTTCATACAAAAATCGCAGCTTCAAGAGTGGTTAGACAACGAGTTTGTACGCCCTAACATATCGATTTTCTTCCAATGCAACCAGCCTAACTCAACTCCAAGTTGTTCTTCATTTGTCAACAAAGTTGATACACCTGTCCCTGCTAATCTCTATACTCGATACTTTGCTATCCATCCTTGGGGAGGAGAATGATGTTAACCAATATTTTAAATTATTTTATTTTTTAATACATCATGAAAAAATGATTTAAGATCCATAAGAATCCAATGATATGAAGTACACAATTCTGGAATGATATATATATTTAGTTAAATCGAGGTCATTCAATAAAGAGCTCGATTTTTTGTATTGTGATTCTAAAGACTATAAAGTTTATGGTAAAAATCCTTCATCCTAAAGTCTGGATGTCGTATTAACAAAAAAAAAATAATAAATAAATAAATAAATAATTGTATGGATTTAAATCTCTATCAATATTTTATCAGATTTCATTTCAAAAATATTACTTTATAGGTATGAAAACTTATAACTGTATCAATCAAATATGGAGGTAAATTTATTTTTTTCCATAAATTTTTTTAATAGAGAATATACATTTCTCTTTAAATATTACATCGCAAATATGAAGTCAGTAGTGTTTAAAACATCGATAGCTCATAAAATTTGATCAACCCAACACATCCCGTATGGTAAGTAAGTTGAATTTGAGGCTCATAGTTCCTTTCGAGGTCTTAGAGAGGATAGGGTTTGTTTCACCCACCTTTACCGTAGTACATAATGTGTTTCATGTCTCTATGCTATGGAAATACACTTTGGACCCTACACACTTCATAGAACATGAGGCACTTCATCTTTAAGAGGGTTTATCTTACTAGGAGGAGTCTATCATGTCTCTAGGCTAGCCTAGAACATAACACATTTTGTGTTGTGCATGGTATAATGCGTCAACATCTAGCAGTGACGCAACACTTGGATTCAACCCACACTTGTGAATTGACTCGCAATCTGACCAATGAACCAAGACACGATCTAGTTCAACAGCACGACCCAATCCACTTGTCTGACTCGACCCAACTCACAACATGCTAGTACGCATACACCAGGTGTCACGACATTGTAAATCACAATCAAACATGCGCCACAAGAGTTGGATCGTCGAACCAACACCACATATTGCCCACCCAGCGCAACTCTCCTCTGCTAGGCGTATAGTACTCACATGTGAAAGGCTCTTCTCATGCAAAGGGGAGCGTGCAGGGTGGGTTTCACCCCAAACCTTCACTCGACTAATTTTTACTTTGATTTCAATACTAACCCTAATTTTCTTTCAATTCTTACCCATGAGAGAAATTTCAAAAGATTTGAAGCTCTTACCATACTAAAAAACTAGTTCAGGAAGGCACGAGTCATCCGATAAGTAGTCACACAGACTTTAGGAACACTTATGGATTGTTAGGACGTGTTAGCATGCAAGCATTTCTTACCTTAGGTGGTTACACTATGCATCTTTATGACTACAATTACAAAACGACAATTTCAATGAAGAATGCAGCGTATGTATAAAATAAAAATTACCATTATACCCCTAGGTTAAGATTTCGAGATATATATATATACACACTTTGCAAAACTAGAAAGAGAATGTGCGTGTATATAATACGAGTTGGGCAATATAGATGAATAAGCTATGTAAAATGTAAGAAATTACCAAAATGCCCCTATAATAAAATTTACGATGAACACTCTTTTAAATGTTTTCCTCCGTACTAAAATGAAGATAGGTTATTGTGATAAGTGCTCTGTAAATTGATGGATATTATCTCACCCCATTTTTATATTTTATTTTATTTTATCTTTATTTTTGAACTACCATTGTTTCTACCGATTTTAACGGTCAACTAATTTTAGGCCCTACCAATTATGGGCCATCTTACCCTCTTTTTTAGGATTGTTCCATTTTTTGAAACCTATAAATATAGAGGGAAAGAAAAAGAGAAGTCACAAATAAAAAGGGACAAAAGGAGGGGGGAATTTAGATAGCAAGGAAACAAAATGAAAATGAAGTCCTTGCTAATATGTTTAGTTTTAATTAGCATGGTGATGACGAGCCCAGAAGTATCAGCAGATAAGGAAGAAGTATCAGTAGATAAGGAATTTCTTAAACTTTCAGGATGTCAACACCCTAATCCACCTCCACATTGTTTAGTCGGAAATAGGGGCTCTATACGCGTTCCTGCTAATCCCTATGATCGAGGATGCTCTGCTACTAGTCGTTGTCGAGGAGGAGGATGATTTTAATCGATATTTAAAATTATTTTCTTCTTTAATATATGAAGGAAAAATGAATAAAGAGTGTTTATGCTTACATTTCATGAATCATATATGTAATATCCGATTCAAATGAGGCCATTCAATAAAGAGTTTTATTTGTCAGATGGGAGTTCGAAAGACAATTTAATATTTGGACAAAAATTAATTTATACCATTAAAATTTGGCTGTTATGTCAAAGTTTTAAAAAAAAAATAGTTATATCAATTTAAACTTCTAATAAGAATTTGATAAACATTATTTTACCTATGCAAACTTATATTAATTAATGCTTTGAATTTCAATGTCTAATTCATTTTAAATCTTGTGTTTCAAATAATCTTTAGTCAATTTGTTCTTGCGTGGCCAAGCGACGTATGATCGAGTCGGTTTTAAAATAAGGTTTTAGAAAACGAGGAGAAAGAGAGATTTTATTGATATAACCCGAATATTATGGATAAGAAAATGATTGTGTCGTTAGAAAATGCATGTTAAAGGTTTTGGAAGAGCATTTTTGGATAAGTATTTGGATGAGTATGAATTGTACGTATGTTATGTTTAGCTTTAATTACCGTGCTGATGACGAGTCAAGAAGCAACACCAAAGATAAAATATCTTAAAATTTCACCACTTGCACATTGTTCTTTATTTGGAGTTCGGGGCTATTCACATGTTCTTGCTAATCCCTACGATGATGAGTCATGTTCAACACAACCTGTATTATAAATCGAAAGGCCAACTCATACCAAATCCAAGCCCACTTTCCCTCTCAACCCAACTCAACTCCAACGTTAGCCTACACAATGTGTGTGGCTCGGCTTCCATATGCACACATGCCACACCCTCGATTTGGGCACCAACTCAATCAATAGGTTAGCTTGTCGACTAGCTTGGATTCCATGCGAGTCATTTTTATATTGGATGACCATGTTTACCTAATTGTGTGCATACAAATTATTTTGTTTGTGTGTATTAATTACCTAATTGTGTGTATTAATTCTTCATGAGAAAGCCTTGCTACAATTATTTGTTTGTGTGTATAGAAATTATGTAGCAGTATCGACGTAATTTCATAGAGTCATTCGGTCTGAATGCTAGATGAAGAACATAAGCCAGATGAAAGAACGGGAAGACCTAGAATGTAGAAGATCATAACATCAGTGATTCGGCGGATTTGGATTCCTTCCTTCCACTACTCATGTGTCTAAAGGAGCTGATCAATGTCAAATTAGTTTCTCGATATTTGTTGTGTCTGCATGCATATCCAACTCCAAAACGAGGGTCGCTTAATTTTCAATACTCGTCTTTTATAAAAATATTTTTAAGTAAAGTAAGGGCACGTGTCAATCACAATGAGAAGGAGTGCTTACACGACAATGAATCTTAGTCATTATCTCTGTTTTATTTTCCGTATCTTACATTTATGTACTCTAGAATTTTCCATATTTTATTTTCTTAGACGTTGATGTTATGTTATTTATGTTCTCTGTTTTATATTTATGTTATTGTCTATAAATATAAGATAAATATAGTATCATAACATACATGCGGGAAGTACATGCATCAGATGCACCCATAACATAATATATCATAACATACTCGAAAGGACACATAGATAAGTCACAGGGTATGTGATATGAATCAAGAGACATCAATCATACAATATATTTCAATGAAGATGCGAAGAAAATGTTGTTGAAATTATCAAAAGATATTTCAATTCAGATATTTCAATTCATGTCACTTGAAGAGGAATGAAGTTTCATCGTTATAACTTTTAGGTGGATTTCAATTTAGAGTAATTTAGAATTATTGTATTTCATTATTTTAAGACATTTTATTTACTTTAGGTTAAGACATTTTAAGACATTATAAAGTATGAATATTACCACTCTTGGCATGTTTGAGGCTCTACATAGTCATGTACGTTTTGGAAAATATAGTAAAAGAAACATTTGTGCTTTCTTTAACTAATGACTAAGTTTGTTTGCAATTCTATATAGTTTAGGTCGCATGTAGAATCATTCAAGCTCGATCAATCTTGTTTGTGGAGTAATTCGAATCTTAAATAAATATTTTTGCGTTGAGATATTTGATCAACAAGAATCATTCAAGCTAGACATGATCGATCTTGATTGTACACTCATTCGAATCTCAAACAATGTTCTTACCTTGAGATATTCAATCAACAAGGTAACCTAAATCTTACGTGATTGGAGTGATTTACACATATCATACGTGTCATTTATACAACACTCAAGTCATAAAAAAAAAAATAAAAAAAATAAAAAAAACTTTCATATGCTTTAAATAAATTATAAAATCATAAAATTTTCGAGTTTTGACCCATTTATTCAATGATTAATTTATGTACTAATCAAAATTAAATTCGTGAATTTATGGTAATGTTTATTGGTAAATTAGGAAATATTGAATAAAGAGTTGGAAATTGCAATATTTAAGTAAGATCCATTTGTTGAATTAATAAATGGAAGCAAAAAAATGTAATAACATGAGAAGTTCATATTAAAAGCGGAATTTTTTTTCCAAAAAGAGAGTAAGAACGGTAATGGCGGACCGAAGATGTGTTCATCACCATGGAAAGAAGAAGAGGTCCGTTTAGAGAGCACAGAGGACATTGTGAACTAATTGTGGCTTTGTGTTATCTGTATCACAGCCCACATTCACAATGACCCAATTGAGCAAAAGGGAAACTGAAAGCGCCAGTGGAGAATGTTAGGGCATTCGATTTCAAGCATTCTTACAAATTTGTTCGAACAGAGAGAGAAAAGACTGACACCCACTTTCCATTTTTTTAATTTATGGCCGTTCAATCGAATTACGCCAACTTGAGGTGTATCATTGGCCGATTTTCATTTTTGGAAATTCGTTTTGCCCAATCATTTCTGTGCATCGGGACGTTGCTCGAGGAATCGCCTGTGTTGAATCAACACCTGGAGAAGATCAGACGGTTGAAATTGGATTTGTGAATTGTTCATCATGCAAGTGATCAACAGAGAGAGACAGTTCTATACGTTTCTTTCTGAGAGAAGAGTCCGTCGGTAATTTCGTTGACGTCAAAACGACAAAGCCATCGAGTGCATCGGAACCCTATTGCCTCTTCGCATCGGATTTCCGTTTCGATTTCTAAGCGTTGTTGTGATTTGGGACTGTTTCGAGCTCTGGGGTAAGTGTGTCTGGTTTGCCCCTTTTATGGTTTTGTGATTTGGGCCTGTTCTTCTTGTTCATTCAAACTCTGGGCTGAAATTTTGTTGGTTGATTTCGTTTTCTATTAGTTTTCTATTTGTTGTGTTCTTTGTATCTTTGTTTTGAATTCTGGAGATATTGAACGAGCTTTCTATGACTGTATGAACTCTGTAATATTGTGATTTGGATATGTTTTTGTATACTACAGAGTGATTGGAAGAGGGTTGCTTCCAAAGTTATGTCATCATCGTATCAAGTTCTTCCGAAGCCATTTGAAGAGAAGTATCCCAAATTGGCTGTTTCTTTTCAGGTTTCCCCAGGAAGTGAAGCCATGAGACATCCAATTCCCAGGCAGGTTCCTCCATTAGTTTCTAACAGTGGCACTGTTGGACATTTGTTTTCATCTTCCTCTGGATTTCGAAACGATTTTCCATTGATGCAACCGTTGTCTCGAGAGAGAAATGTCCAGTTTTCGTCGTTTGTTTCTCGGTCTGATGATGATGGATCTTTGTTGCTTCTTCATGGTTCTTCCCATTCAGAACAGTCCACAATGGTTACTAATGACTTGAATGAAAACGGTTCATCTTGGAGTACTGATGCTCTTCAGGATTTGCTTGATTTTTCTGAGAATGCTGCTGACCAGAACGTTGAAGCGCAAAGCTTGACCGGTGTACTAATGTCGGATGACCGAGCCAAGAGGAATGATTGGCCTGATTGGGCTGATCAGTTCATTTCTGTTGATGATGCCATGGAGCCAAATTGGAGTGAGATTTTTTCTGATGCTAACGCTGGAGATGCTGAAGTAGAGGTTGGTTCATTCTTTCATGAAACATTAAGATCTTTTTGTGCTCAATTATCCTCCTCTGACTTGCATTGCACTTTGTGGGTGTGTTTGCTCAACATAGGGTATTTTTTCAAAAAGAAAGAGAGGGAAAATAGTTAGTCAAAATGACTCGGGATAGTTCAGATTCATATGAACCAAGCATCTCAGTCATGCAATATTAATGTCACGTTAAGAACAATTAAGCTTCATTTATACAATAAAGGTTTCACGATACTTCAGTGAGGCTTAATTTTGTTCTTAGATGGTTACAAATGTGTGATGGACGATAATTTAGAGTTATGGTGTTTTTTAATGTATTTTAAGGCTTATTTACATAGAAATATACATAGTGGCTAGTGGCTAACAATAGTCATAAACTATGAAAGTTACAACTCTTGGAATGCCTCATGGAAGGTTAAGGGTTTTCATTTTGAGGCTATAAAAAGCCGTGTATGTTATCTTTGTAAAATAGACTTGGAAAATGTAGAAAAACGAGCATTTGTGCTTCTTTGCCATTCTATATAGTTTAGGTTGCATGTAGAATCATTCAAGCTAGACATGATTGATCTAACATGTGAAGTGATTCGAATCTCAAACAAGTGTTCTTGACTTGAGATATTCGATCAATAAGGTAGTCTGAATCTTACTTCGCTTGTAATGATTCCTTATCATTTGGTATCAAAGCTTTTTCTTGGACCGATTCGTTATCAATGAAAATACACTAAATTGGTTCGGGTCATTCTTTGAGACATAATGGAAGAGGGGCGGATATTCCTAAATGGAGAAAATGATGAATGACTTTGAAAGAATTGAATTAAGAGTCGTATGAGGTGAAAATCTAAAGTCGACAAAGTTTCTTAGACAAACTTGGTCTCTAGTTAAAGTACAGAACCACTGTAGTTATGGATGCTAGAATAATTGAACTTTTTGAGATGCAGGTGCTAAAATCATCATCAGCTCATTTCCATGCTCCACAGAACCAAACGAATCAAGTTGACTCTGTACCTACAGCAGAGTTTCATTCTGTTTCTAATTCTCTCTCAATGTCATCAACCCGACCTCGGATGCGATGGACACCGGAGCTTCACGAGTCATTTGTAGAAGCTGTCGATAAACTTGGCGGCGGCGAAAGTATATTAATTTGTCTAGTATGTTCTTACTGTTGTTTTAGAATGCCTGAAAAGCTGCAATTACTTCTCTTTAACAGATGCCACTCCTAAGGGTGTTTTAAAACTCATGAATGTTGAAGGTCTCACCATTTATCATGTGAAGAGCCACCTACAGGTACTCTGCAATTTTTCCATTCTTGATTTCACTTGGCATGCTTATTTATAATGTATTTATTTTCATTCAAATGCCAGAAATATAGAACCGCCAGATATAAACCGGAGTCATCAGAAGGTAGCGGCGAATGTTCCCCTTATGCTTTTGTGTTTACTTTGGTTACTTTGTTTATCATCATCTGGAACATCATTACTATCTTTTGGCACCATGTCAATATCAAGGTTTAGCTTTAGCTTTACTGCCATTTGCTATCTTTTGGCACCTCTTTTGAATCTATTTTTATCCCCTTTTCTGATGGCTTTCAATGGAAAAACAGTCTGAGAGGTGGTTGGATTAATTTTTCTGTCCAGGATCTTCGGGGAAAAAATTGAATCGTATTGAGGAAATGAAATCTCTTGACTTGAAAACGTAAGTTGTCTTTTGCCTTAATATTTTGTCTATGTGTGGGTGTCTTTGACTTTGAGAGGGAGGAGTTAAATCATAAATTTGAAACATTTTGTGTGAGATCCACGTTGGTTGGAGAGGGGAACGAAACATTCCTTATAAGGGTGTGGAAACTTCTCCCTAGCAGATGCGTTTTAAAACCTTGAGGGAAATCCCAGAAGGGAAAACCCAAAAGACGGTAATATTTGCTAGCGGTAGGCTTGGGCTGTTACAGATGGTATCAGAGCCAGTTACTAAGTTGTGTGCTAGCGAGGACACTAACTCAGTAACTGGGCCCCCAAGGATGGTGGATTGTGAGATCGCATGTTGGTTGGAGAGGGGAATAAAGCATTCCTTGAAAGGGTGTGGAAACCTCTCCCTCGTAAACGCGTTTTAAAACCTTGAGGGGAATCCTAGAAGGGAAACCCAAAAGACAGCAATATTTGCTAGCAGTAGGCTTGAACTGTTACAAATGGTACCAGAGCCAGTTATTGGGCTGTGTGCCAACAAGGACACTGGGCCCCAAGGATGGTGGATTGTGAGATCACATGTTGGTTGGAGAGGGGAACAGAGCATTCCTTGTAAGGGTGTGGAAACCTCTCCCCAACAAACGCGTTTTAAAACTTTGAGGGGAAGCCGAGGTCAATATCTGCATTCATATTTTGTTTGAGAAACTGTGTGATTATACACATTCATACTTTTTGGGGTGGGGTTAGTGTTTAAGTTTTTTGTTCTGTACATTGATCTAAAAAATAGGAGCATGGGGATAACTGAAGCCTTGCGTCTGCAAATGGATGTCCAGAAGCGGCTCCATGAACAACTTGAGGTGTGTATTTTGTTTGTTTCTGAAGGTTCCTTTATATTTTTATCAAATAAAAGAGTAGCTTGAGCTAAATTTTCATGGATTGTGGAACTATGCTTTAGCCTTGTACTAGCTTGATATGGCTGATAATGTTGGTCACATTAACTCATTTCTTTGCCCTCTTTCGATAGATGATAAGAACGACAACACCATTTGTCTATATGAGCGCCATGACTATTCTATATTCAACTATTATACGTTAACCTAGTGGTCAATGAAGGCGAATCAAAATAATAAATGACTTAGAGATGACCGTGTCTCTATGACTTAATATTTATGCTACCAAATAGAGTAAGGTCAAACGGTTGATGCGGAGTTTTTTAGAGATTCTAATTTGGTAAGTTTATACAGATTCAAAGGAATTTGCAGCTACGGATCGAAGAACAAGGTAAGTATCTACGGGAGATGTTCGAGCAACAAAGAAAGATGGAAACCAAGCTGAAGACCTCCTCATCAATCCTAGAGAATATGCCCCTTGCTGACGACCAACCTGAAAATTCAGAACAAGGTCGTGTAGCAGCTGGTACGAGCATGGACAATGCTGATGAAGATGGTTTGCCTGCTGCAAGTAGGAAACAAAAGGCACACGAAATCGAAGCAATACTGTCAAGTGATGATATCTCTTCCCCAGACGCAAAACGATCCAAATCAGATGCAACAGGTTTATAGCAGTGCGTCGAGGAGTCGAGAAAGATGTTCAATGATGGCGCTGTAAAGCTTAAAGGAGAATACGAGAGGGTATTTCCAATCCTTTGCAGTGCAATTGAAAACAATTGGCTTCTTGCTTTGTTAAGGAAGCCATTTGCCAATTGAACTTGGGAGCTCTTCCAACAAATTGTGTATAAGATGATTGGCTAAAACTCTCCATTTTATGCAATAATCTAATGGCATTGCTTCTTTCTTAGAAGCAATATTTTTAGACTTAACTTTCACCCACGAGTCCTACGAGTCCTACTTTTTATAATCCATTCAAAACGCCATTGGATCAACTAACAATGTATGGCAAGAACAACAAGAATAACATAACTACCAAACCCTTCGGTCTTGCAAGAGATTACCACCAAACAATTGTCCCACGAACGAACCACTATGGTTTTTTTGGTTGATGGGTCGAAAAGAACTCCAAGGAATGAGATTCACATCCAATCTTAATGAATAACCCCTTTGGATCGGGTTTGACCCTACCTTGAAACCGTTCAAACCTGTTGTTTATTTCCTCCGCCCCCATTTGATTCGAGTCAGGTTAAGTGTGAGATTCCACATCGTTGGAGAAGAGAACGAAACATAACTTATAAGGGCGTGAAAACCGCTCCGTAATTGAGGCGTTTTAAAACTTTGAGGAGAAGTTCATAAGAGAAAGCCCAAAAGGAACAATATCGGCTAGTTGTGGACCTGGACCACTCATATGATCGAGGAAACAATGTAGTCACAATGAAGACACCATTTCCTAGGGGAGAAATGTAGTCAATTTTGGAAGGGTACCCTATTAGAGTAGACATTAAAGTGTAAATTTATGAAAAGGAGGAGGAAGATGATGAAAGGTAGAAAGAAACGAGGGCAGCAACCTTAATCAAGAAAACTTGACAAAACATTGCAAGTTTTCAGCATGCACTACATATTGAGTTGAAAGAAGGAATAATATGTTCAGATGCATATAAACAGCATTTGTGCCATCATATTGCTTAAGAAACTCAATCAGAATACTGCAATTGTAATGTAATTATTCTTACATATCCTCACACACCTGAGTTGCCGTACTTCCACCTTTGGCAGCCGCCGCATGTTTTCGATGCTTTTTACTCTTGGCTTTCTTTGCCTTCATCCGCCGTCGCTTCTCGTTCGCATCAACCCATGTATAGTCTGGGGGTATATGGAAGGGATCGGCCTCGTCCTTATGACCGTCGCCATCACTTGCTTGCGCACCACGACTTCCTCTCATCCATGCGATCCATGATGAAGAAGACCCGTCTGATTCCTTAGCTTTAGCATCCGGGAAATGGTCTGGACTGGAAGGAGGTGTTGCAAACTCTTCCGCTGGCTGAAGCTCTTCAAACTTCGTGAAAGTAACGAGCACCCTGATTGTCGGGACAATAGGGATGGCGACCTGAATGCCAAAAATAATCTCATCATTTAAAAATCAAATGCACTGGATTGAATCAACCAAGATATACATAAATCTAATTACTATTTGTTTTGTCCTCAGTTTCCAATTCAGGCTTCTGTTGACCCCTCTTTGCAAATTAAAGATAAGAGAGATAAACAGATCACATACTCCAAAAATTACAGATCTTTCCATCTAGAATACAAATGATAAACATTTTTTTTACCAACGATAAGAATAAGAATCTTTACCAAACATCTTCAAAACCTCATACTGTTCCTCAAAATCCTTTCATTCCTTTCCGACCAGTAGTCGAACAAAAAGCAACACTGCACACAGACGTGCAATACAAAACGAACAACAGAATGATGAACCGTGTTTTGTTTTTTCCTTTTCATTTGGCTATCAAAACATCCCCATTGAATGCTTTCAAACAACACCTTTTCCCAAAAGTATGAGGTTTCGATCTATTGGCAGTATATTTCTCTCTATGTGAAACAATTGAGGCTATATTTCGCTCATTGTTCTTTTTCGTCGTTTGTAACCTCTCGTTTCCAAAGGGAAAGAGAGACGATAATAAAAGAAAAAAGCTATATCATATGATCTTCCGCGTTTTTTTAACTAAAAGAAACAAATAACAACTAGTCCAATTGAACAGGATATGAAAATTAGCCGATGTAACATCGTTGAAGAAACGAAATAAATAGCACCAATGTAAGAGTTCACTAAACAAAGAGGAACATAAGAACAAGGTAGTATTAGGAAAATCAGATAAGCGCCTAGTTAATAGGATTACCTTCACAGGAAAGGTGCCAATAGGCAACTTGGTAGTCAAAAGTTCCCTTAATCTCCTAATAGCCTTCACCTTGTTAGCAAGGATGTCAAGCAAAGGCAGGAGCTCATCAGTTTTCAAAGGGAAATCTTGTGTTAACCATAAGACTGGCCTCAAATTCTTTTTGTATTCACTCTCATTTTTTAACTCACTAGTGGCTCCTTTCTTCTTCTTTTTCTTACTACTCTTATCTTTTCCCTTCTTGGTCTTATCCCCCATATCTTCAGAAGAATTCGGAGGCTCAACGACTTTATGATTGCTACCTTCTGGGGCCGACTTTGAGAATTTCTTCATCTTCGAATCATCTAGCTCAACACTGTTACTCCTTGAATTTTTCTTGTTCCAACCAAACCAACTCTTCTTCTCCTTAACAATACCATTGGATTCAAAATTGTCACAGGAACCCACTGATCCATTTTCCTGACTGTCAATAACCCCTAGTTCCTCATACTCGAGATGGGTATCGGAGTTCCCCATAAGAAGTGCTGAATCCAATTGCTTTCTCTCCTCAACTGTTAATACGTCATCATATTCGTCACAGGCTAATCTATCTTCATCTTCTGCAGCAAATAGCTCTTCATCAGTCATAGCACCAGGAACTCGCCTTGATTTCACACTCACCGTTACATGAAGCATGTCGTATATTTTTGCTTTCCAATTTCCAACCACCTCAATCCTTTCTTGTCGTCGCCAATTTACATGAGGAACCAACTCAGCTTGGGTTACATCAATGCCTGGTCTATACATATTGGTCCTTGACATTAAATCCACTTCATGAGCAACTTCTGCATCAGTTGGTTGTGCACCAGCTCCTTCCAAAGCATTTGTAATTTCCTTCTCTTTGTGGGTAAGAACAATCAAAGAGCCAGGTGGTAACGTAACGACGTTATCATCAGAAGAGTAGCCCTCTCCAAGAAAGAGAAATGTCTGGTCAGAACGTTGAATTCGAAAACCATCAAAACCAGCAAGGGTCATATCTGCACGGAGATTGGAACCACGCTTCCAAATCCTGTATGTATCTGATGGAGCAATTCGCCCAATAAATGGAATTACAGAGCTCTCAAAATGAAAAGTCATTTCCATATAAAAATCACGCATACGAGCAGCAGAGGCAACAATACGTGGAAGCCTACGACACCACTTTGCCCAAGCTAGAGGCTGATAGTGCCGTGCAATAATCATAGCTATTGAATCATCTCTATTGCAAACTGCCTCTTGAAGAGCACTCCAACCATACTCATTCTGAAGACTCCAATCTGCTCCAGCTGCCATCAAAATATCAGCAGAAATTGGGTCGCAAAGACGTACTGCAAGGTGAAGAGGAGTCTCACGTCCTGGGACATCACGCCGATCAATAACAGCAGACACAGCATCAGCTTGTAGCTCTGCTGCGATGGATTCCGCTTCAGTATTGACCTCACCTGCCTTGGCCAATCGTGGAAGTGTGGAGATAATGAATCTCAGAGCAACGTAGTCCCGACGTGCAACTGCTAAATGAGCAGGACTATGGGCATATTTAGAAAAGTCCTCCATTCGTTTTCCTTCTCAAGATTACTATCCAATTTTATGCTAAAAGCCTTACAAGTATGCCTTTTTCACAATCCATAGTCCTATTTAATTCACAGGGGAAGTCATTCATAGCCATAGAATCTCCACGATTCTAAGAGCTCAAATATTAAAGTGCACATAAACTTAAACATCCTGGTGTGAAGCTCCATTACAGCATGGTGAAGCAGTCGAGTAAAATCTGTAAAGTAACAACATCAATGATTGAAGGGAAAAACAGCTTTCCAAAATTCAAAACCATTCTCTCAACCCCAAAACCCACATTGGCAAATTCGAAGTACCCATAAACAAGAAAATCAAAATCTCCACTCAAAAACAACATGAACACATTTAATTTCCCCCATTTTTCACCACCTTCCACAGAATCAAAAGCACAACTAAACCAGACACAGATTCTACTATCCCCACAACCAAACGTATCCCTAGAGAAAAACCAATCCCCCCGCCCCCTCGCCCCCCAAAAAGATACACGAAACAAGAAAGCAATTAGTACCTGGAAACACCTCGCAGGGGTTGAATGGCGGGTTTGTCTCAAGTCCTTGGCGTCGCTCCAAGACTTGAAAAAGAGAGAATCCGCCGCTGTTTATGAGGACGGAATTGGGGGCGATGGAATCAAACAAAGAGAGAAAGGATCGTGGCGCCAATTAGAAGAGGAAGATCACGCGAAGAGCGAAACTGGGTGAGCTTCGAGAATTGGAATTAAAAGAGAAGAGGGGTTTGTGAGAAATGGGAGTTCGAATGATTGTGATTATGATGATAATCCTTTCCTCAATCCGCCATCATCGTAAACGAGTCTTACTTCCACCGATGATTAGGTTCAATTAGCGGTGGCCGGACTCATGTCGTTGCCTCTTCTTATATTTTTATTATTTATTTATTCTCTCAATTACCTAATTTTATATTCATATTTTAATTTCATGACCTTTGTTTGATTATGATTTTTCATTAAAAAAAATAAAATAAAATGTAGATCTAGAAATTACGGTAGTTTTCAAATTTGTTTCAAATTATTCTATTTTTGCCACTTATTTTTAAATATATTTTATTGATAGGTAGGTTTGTTTGAAATAGAGAGTGGCATCTCGAAGCCTCGATAGAATGATCTAGCTATGTTGATTATCGAGAGAACGAATAGATGGCTCTTTCAAACAGTGATGGTTCATGTGCACTGCCCATAATCTCGGTTGACATAAATTTCTTAGTTTCGTAACGTAAAGCATAAGCATTCCCATGAGAGTTTTCTGGGTTCTCATCTATGATTGACTCGAGTATGTATGTTTTGGATTTTGTCAAGAGATGTGGGATCTCGAGTATCTTAATAGAAATAAATTTGAAATGTCGGGAAGATGATGAGATGATGAGTGAAGGATGTTAATCTTATCGGGTTCGATTTATGTTCTTTTGCTCCTTGCTCGAGGAGTGGTAAA